AGCCGCGGGGGTCTCGGAGGAGGGCTCCTCCTTCTTCTTCGAGGACGACGAGAAGCGCTCGCGGAACTTCGCGAAGTTCGACATGGGCTGTTCTTCTGTTTCGGTTGCGGAGCTCGTCCGCGGACGCGCTGCGGCCGACGGACGGAGGTGTTGTGCTCGGCGACTGTGCGCTTTTGAGAGCGTGCGGAGGTGTGTGCGCCGCGTCGAGGACGTGTGCGCGCGGCGCTCCTGACGTCGAGCGTGTCCGGCGCTTGCGGCAGCTCGAGCAACTTTTGGACACGGCACCTATTTCGTGCTGGCCGGGGGTCGAGCTGAAACGCCGACACTGTCGGCGTCTCGGCGTAGCGCGCGTCGGCATGGACAAGGGTGAACTAGCCGGCCTTCCGGCCGCCACCGACCTGATTTTGTGTCTCCAGCGATGCAAACAACTCGAGGCGGCGATGAAGGAACGGCAGGCCGGCGGCGGCGCGAAGAGCGGCCGCTACATGAAGCATGACACGGCGCGCCTGCGCTGCCTGGAGCGCGCCGTCTACCCGGAGCTGCGCATGGGCATCCTGCCCACCGCGGTGAACGCGAAGATGCTCTTCGACATGCCCGCGCCGCGCGACATCGCCGGCCCCGCGAAGAAGGAGATGGACGTCTGGTCGAACGTCTACGGCTGGGACCCGCGGCAGAAGAAGGGCGACGCGCCCGAGCTGGACACGGCGGGGCAGACGACGCTCCTGTTGTGGGCCCAGGGCCAGGGCGGCCTCCTGACCGCGGCCGCGGCCCCCGGGCCGCCGCGCGGGCGCCCCCACAGCCTCCACACGACCTACGAGCTCGAGCGCGGCGGCGCTAACGTTACCGGCCACACGCTCGACTACGTCCTCAAGCACTCCAACTACTACATCGCGTGGATGCTCGACGCGCTGAGGTACAGCGCGCCCTTCGTCTGGGAGTTCCCGCGCGACGAGCTCACCTTCCTCGCGCTGCTCGAGCTCGAGCAGAACCGCTGCGCCTTCGTGCTCGTGGAGCGCGGCGAGGCGACGGACGTCATCGTCAAGATCCCCGCGCGCGCTTGGTCTGAGTTCGAGGCGGGGATGCTCGGCGACGCGGTGGAGCGCGAGGACCGGCGGCTGGAGTCCCTCGAGGGCACGGCGTCGGCGACGGAGAACGACCCGGACGCGCTCGCGGCCTTCGAGAAGCTCGAGGCCATGGACCGCACGGGGAACACCGTCGGCGCGGAGACCGTCGAGTTCTTCAACCAGACCATGTCCGCGATGCGCAGCGGCGCCATGCCGCCCATCGCAGGATGGAACAACTACACGATCTACCCGCCCCACTTCTCCAAGGTGCGGCCGTTCCACCCCAACAACGCCAAGACCCTCCCCCTGGTCTTCTGGTCGCCCGGCGAATTCTGGGCCGACGTCGGCGTGAAGTGCCCGTGCGCGCGACACGGTTTTCAACACGACGTCAAGGTCTACGAGCCGCGCGCGCCGCGGGTCGCTGTGTGGAAATCAAATCTTCAACACGACTTCAATGTGCACGTAATTGAACGAAATGCGCCGGATTCCTCGGCCGTGCTTCGAGAACTCGACGAGAGCAATCGATTTGTCCAAAAATTAGCCGAATCGACTTCGATTTGACCGAGATGAAAGGTTCTGAAGTTTGGTACACAGGCGGCTCGTCAAGGACGGCTTCGGCAAGAACTTCGGCCTCTGCGCCGCGCGGCTCTACTGCCCGACGTGCGGCCAGGAGCGCGAGACGGCGAAGGCCGCGCTCGTCACGGCGCGCGGCCAGGGCGCGACGGACGCCGAGCTGGAAGCGCTCGAGAAGACGGTCGCGTCGGCGACCTGCTGGTCGAGCACGATCGACCCGTCCGTGATGAGCTTCATGGTGCAGCGGTTCCCCTTCCTCGCGATGGAGTTCCCGGCCTTTGTGTCCCACCGCTCGGCGGTCTCCAAGGACACGCTGCACGACATGCTCCGCGCGGCCAGGACGGCGCAGGGCGCGCACGACATCGAGAGCAAGTACGACGAGCTCCTGGCCATCAAAGCGACCGAGATGCAGCTCTCCGTCATCTCCTACCAGGCGACGGCCATGGCGCACCAGAAACGGACGGTGATGCCGCGGGTGGATTTGCAGACGTGGCAGCACCTGAAGATGACCGTGCCGAAGATCAGCGACACCTACGTCGCGGCGACGACGCGCTCCTACGTGGAGGCCCACGAGCCCTACATGCTCAGCTGGCTCGAGCAGAACGTGAAGCGCGGCGAGTTCGGCTTCGGGGACCACTCCGGCAAGCACGGCTCGCGCATGAAGTTGCAGGGCGACTCCGTGTTGGGCTGGACGTGGACCGAGTTCAACGAGATCGGGCAGAAGGTCATCTCCGTGCGCGTGCAGACGACGGGCTGGAACGACCCGTCCCTCGTCGCGGCCTACGACTCGCGCCAGCGCGCGGAGCAGCGCCTCGGCCGGCGGAACCCGCTGCGGCGCCTCTGCCTCGACAACCCGAAGAAGGACGGCTCCGGCGCGATCGCGAACGTCTTCCTGGGCCAGGAGCTCAACGTGCTGCGGTTCCCGGGCCGCGTCGTCCTCGTGCGGACCGAGCTCGAGTGCGACGACGCCTGCGCGGCGCTGGCCACGGAGGAGGTCCTCGGCTTCGACACGGAGAACGTGACCTACGTGCCCCCCTACTACGGCACGAACATCGCCAAGGCGGCCATCGTGCAGCTCTGCAGCGGCGACGCGGCCTTCATCTTCGTGGTGCACGCGTGGGAGCGCGCCTACCCTTCCTTCGTCGCGCTCATGGCGAACGGCGACGTCGAGAAGGTCGCCGTCAACGTCGCGTACGACCTGCGCATGCTCCACGGCCGCTTCAACATCGACATCAACGGCGCCGTCGAGCTCTCCTCGCGGGTCAAGGCGGCGCACCCGGGCCTGCAGAGCTACGGCCTCGCGTCGATGGCCAAGGACGTCCTGTCTCTCCACTTGGACAAGCGCGTCCAGCACCACCTCTGGCAGCAGCAGCGCTACACGCCGCGCCAGATCATGTACGCGGCGAACGACGCGTGGGCCTGCCTGCGGCTCGCGCGCACGCTCTTGCCGGTCGCGCCGCGGCGCGAGGGGCGGTCGACGCGCGCGGCGGCGGCGGCGCGACGGCGCTTCGCGGACCTGTCGACGGAGGTGCTCACGGGGCCGAATCTCGAGCGCATCGCCGCGGAGGCGACGGAGACCGACGACGTCGTGGAGTTGGACGAGACCCGCGTCGCCTGCACGCGGCACAAGACTCGATCTGGTGCGCAAGCGCGCGCGGACTCGGAGAGCGACGACGACGACGACGACCTGGGCGTCGACGAGGAGGACGTCGCCGCCGCCGGCGCGCTCGACGCCGCGGAGGCGCGCGCGCGAACGGACGCGGCCGGCGCCGACGACGGCGGCCTCGAGGCGCCCGAGGCGGTCTTCGACGCGGCCAAGCGCCGCGTCCAGGAGTACGCGGAGTCGCGCCGCCAGGACGACATGGAGCTGCCGTCGTCGCTCTCGACGGAGCAGCGCCGCGACGTCCACCGGATCGCGGAGGGCCTCGGGCTCTTCCACCGCTCCGTCGGCGTGCCCGGCGATCGGCGACTCGTGATCTCGGCTTTCGCCGCGCCGCAGTCGCAGCTCGCGAGCGTCCGCCCGGGCGTCGTCAAGGCGCTCGTGGCGCGAGACGTCGAGGGCGACTGCGTCCGGGGCCGCGTCGCGTCGTTCGACGAGGCGCGCTGCCGCTGGAACCTCGAGTACTCGGATGGTTCCGTCGAGCCGTCGGTCGACGTCGACGTGCTGAATCTGAGGATCCGCCGGCGGCACGCCTTCGACACGAGCTCGCAGGGCGACGCCGCGGCCGCGCTCGAGCCGGGCAGCGTCGGCGACGACGCGCGGAAGGCGGAGCTGGCCTCGTTGCTCGAGGGCGTCGACCCGAACTGGGCCTCGTCAAAGTGGTCCAAGCTGTCCTACGACATCTGGCACTGGATGAAGAACTGGCGCACGATGCTCGCGGTCCACACGCGCTCCGAGCTCGCGAAGACGTTCAACGTCATGGCGTCGGAGGCCTTATTCACGATTTGCGAGGGCGAGTGGGACCGCCTCGTGAAGCACCTCAAGCACCCCGCGGGCGGCCGCATGACGGACGAGCAGATCGCGAAGATCCGGCGGTCGTACAAGCGGAAGATGTGCCGGTACGCGGTCCCGGGGCCCGACGTGCTCGTGCGGCGCCTCTACGACATCTACTGCCTCTTCGACGGCATGATGGACCCGGAGCGCCCCGGGCAGCGCGTCTACGTCCACAACTCGCACGCGATCATGCTCAAGGAGCTCGAGTACGTGCAGCTCGGCCTGGTCTCCGACCTGCCGGGCGTGCCGATGTACCGGGTCGTGGGCCGCCTGGGGTCGGGCTTCGAGGTCCACCGCGGCCGGCGGACGAGCTCGGCGCTCGAGGGCATGCACTTGCACCAGCGCCAGTCCCAGCACCCGGGTGCGAAGCATTCGGGCCCGCTGACGACGGCGACGCGCGCGCTGCTCTTCGACTTCGCGTGGAACGTCCGCGCGGCCCAGGCCGCGAACTTGATGCCCGACATCGGCCACTCCTTCGCCTGGCTCGTCGACATGATCTTCGACGTCGTGCAGCTCCACAAGCTGCCGCACTCCTGCATCCCGGAGCTCTACCGCGCGTGGACCCGGACGGACACGAGCCGCGACCCGGTGCTCACCTGGGGCGTGCAGTGGGAGGCGCTCGGCATCGACGGCGGCGGCGCGATGCCGTCGCCGCTTCGCGAGGATGCCGACATCAACGTCGCCCTCGCGAACCGCGCGCGCGCGGAGATGGTCGCGCGATGCGACGTCGCCGCGCTCCAGCGCGATTCGGGTCTCGTCGTCGACGCGCGGAACGCGGCGGATCTCGTGGACCGCGTCGGCAAGCGCGCGCGCGCCCAGACGGCCCTGCGGGACCAAGGCGCGGCGCAAGTATGGGATGGTCTCCGATGCGGCGGCGGGGGCGTCGACCCGTCGGTCCTGCGCGCGCCGCGGCCGGAGACGGACCTCGGAGTCGTCGCGCCGCTGCCGATCAACGCCGAGGTGTTCCCGCTCGCCCGCACGGAGGCGAACCAGACGATGCAGCTCGATGCGGCCCCCGTCGTCGCGCCGGCCGCGGCGCCGGCCATGGCGCCGGCCGTGGCGCCGGCCGCGGCCCTGCCCGCGGCGCCGGCGCCGCCCTTCGTGCCCCACTTCGTGCCCGTTCCCGAGCCCATCGCCGCCGACGACGTGGTCTACGGGCCGGTGTCGTACTCCTACCGAGGAGGCGACGCGGCCGAGAAGGAGCGACGCAAGCTTGCGAAAAGGAAGCGAGAGGCCGACGCGCTGCGCGAAAAGAGAAGGCTAGCCCGCGAGGGCGGCGGCGGAGGCGCGAACGCGGGGTGAGAGCCACCATGTAAGTTTAGCTTACCCTTATCTTCTTTTCTTTTTTACGCCTCGGCGCCTTCGGCGCCTCTCCGGCGCCTCCGGCGCCGTTCCGGCGCCTTCGGCGCCGGTTTTTTTCTTTTTTTTTTCCTCTTTTTTCCTCTTTTTTGGTCTCTGCCAGCATGAAAAAAGTGCCCTTTTTTCTCGAGCTCTCTTCACCCAGCGCGATGCTCATTGGTCCCGCGCCGCGGCGACGGCGCGCGTCGCGTCGCATACGCATGCGCATCGCGTGCGCACGCGGACCCGCCTCGCGCGGTCGCCTCGCGCGCCGCAACAAAAAAAAAGACACGCGCCTCCCTTAGCCCGCGTCGCCGTGTATCCTGAGCGCGTCGTAGTGCACGCGGCCACCGTAGATGACGGACACGACCTTCTGGCATCTGTCGCCGCCCGTGAAGGAGGAGATGCGCAGGAACCCCCGCGTGTGCTTCTCGTAGACGTGGATGTGGACGCGCTTCATGACGGCGCAGAGCGCCATCTCGATCGCGCCGCCCCACTGGCCGTCGGAGCGCATCCGGTCCGCGTACGCTTTGGGGCTCAGGCCGCTCTCCCAGAGCACCCAGGCCCGCAGGGGGTCGCCGCCGATCTCCTGGTCCGGGTTCGTCACGACGAGGTCCGCCAGCGCCGCGCGGAGCGTCGCCGCGGAGCCCGAGCCGAGGCCGAAGGTGAGCGAGTGGTAGAGGCAGCTCCCGTCGCCGGGCTGCTTCACGACCGTGGCCCGCCCTCTGTCGACGATGGTCGGCTTCGCGTCGTCGCCGCCGCCGGCCTCGCCCTTGTTGTAGTTGACGAAGGCGTCCTTGTGGTCGTCGCGCGGCTTGCCCTTGAAGTGGGGGCAGTCGCGCGTCGCGTGCGGACCGTCGCAGCTGTCGCCTGTGTGGAAACCAAATCTTCAACCCGACTTCAATGTTATCGTATGCGAACGTTTTGACGCAATCTCTTCGGCTGTGCCTCGAAAACTCGAGGAGAGGAATCGATTCGTCCAAAAATCAGCCGAATCGACTTCGATTTGACCGAGATGGAGAGGTTTGAAGTTTGGTCAGGACCCCCTGAACCAGTGGTTGGTTTCCACACTGGCTGTCGCAGGGGCCCCGGGGCTTGTCCGGCGTGGCCGCCGGCGCCTTCGCCGAGAGGCGCGACAGGAGCGCGCGCTCGGGCTCCTTGACGGACTCGCGCGGCGGCAGGCCGATCTTCTCCGCGACCTCGGCGATCGCCTCGCGCTTCTTCATGCGCG